GGGAAGCCCAAGATCAAGCCACCAGTAGATTCAGTGTCTGGTGAGAGCCTACTTTCTGTTTCATAGACAGCCATCTTCTTGCTGTCTCCTCACATGGCAAGGAGGGATGAGGGAGCTCTCTGGGATCTCTTTTATAAGGCCACTAATATCATTCATAAAGCACCACTGTCATGACCTAATCACCTCCCAGAGGTCCCATCTTTTAACACCTGTCACAGTGGGGTTAGGTTTCAACATATGAATTTCAGGGAGTTAAACATTTAGTCTGTTGCACCCTGTATTAGTAAGTTCTTGTTCTTAGCTTCTGATCTTCTCACAGCCCTGATCCTTGATGACCAGGGAAGCCCTTAAGAGAGTAAGGAGGCACTTGTGAGAAGGGCTCAAAATTGACTAGTATTCAGTTTAGTTCTCATAGATGACCAAATGTTTTTTATTTTGATACTAAAAGGTTAAAGAAGTAATGATAGAAACCAAATGTAAAATTCCTAAAGTTTCACTCAAATTTGAACTGTCACTGTCATTAGGAGAATCTCCCCTCAGTATGGTTTTGACTCTAACAATACATTAATTATTTATGATAAAAATAAGGAAATTTCATAAAATCATCTCTAAAGACTCCTTTGCTTCCAAATTATGAAATACTGTGATTCTAACATTAACTGTTGGATGTCATTATGTTGCTTGATATCTCATTGAATAGGAGCATCCTATATTCCAGAACTTATCAGTGCCCTTCTGTAACTGAATTATTTTTTGAAGATGTGTCTGCCGTATTTCAGCAGAAACATCTCACACTTCAAGCTTTGAGGTTTTTTTTCAAATAAGAGACTACAAGTTGATTATATATCCAGATTGTATTGATTGCAGTAGATGTGTGTTTTGTAGGAAGGAGATTGTCAATCACAGTCTTTGCCATCCTGTGCATAGGCTTTTTGAGCACAAGTAAACTTAAGGAAATACATTTTGGATCAGAAATACCTAGAAGTAAAGGAAATTAGATTCAGTCATGCACCTCCAATTTCTTTAATGATATCACTCTAAACTGAATATACCTACATATTAAATTTATGGTAGAAACTATACTCATTCATGTTCTGATGGGATATTAACTTTCTGGTTAAGGGAAACTGAAGGTTTACAAGCAAAGTTCTATTCATTCCTAAAGAAAGGATTTCTCATTTTGTAGCTATTGGATTATGGATGAGATTTCATTTGAATAATAACCCCCAAATCCTAGAGGGTGCTCTTGGAAGGAATTAGCATTCCCAAACAAGTAGATTGCAATGCTCTTCTCCCTCAAGCCTTTTAGCTCTCAAACCAACTGAGCTACTGTGATCCCCAAACACGTACCTTCTCTGGTGAGTATGCAAGCTTCTCTTCTAAATGAAGTCGTATAAACCTCTAGTAGCACCAGGCTAGTCTATGTCTTTTTTTGTTTGTTTGTCTGTTTTTTTTGTTGGTTTTTTTTTTGGTATCTGTACTCTTTTAACTCCTCGACTGGCAGCTTTGTTAATGAAGGAAGCTCACTTAATAAAATTACTATGTTTAGATGCTCATTATTAGAAGCTGTGTGCCAAATACTATTTTAAAACCCAATCATTAAGGTTAACAGGGTTTGTTGCTCACACTACTTTACATAACTCATTCTGAGGCTGTTAAAGAGCCATACAGGCTATTTCTATTTTGAACATGCCTATCTATAATGTGTTCTTGTTCATTAATTGAACCTATCAATATGATAACTAAGCAATATGATTAAATAAACAGTAGGATTAATAAGCAATGAAATGGATGACATTTGTTCACTGATTTAAAAAAAAAAGAGGGTTCGAGGGGCCCGTTTGGCTTCATTGGTTAAGCCTCTAACTCTTGGTTTTGGCTCAGGTTATGATCTCACAGATTGTGAGATGGAGCCTCATGTTGGGCTCTACGCTGACAGTGCAGAACCTGCTTGGGATTCCCTCTCTCTGCCCCTCCCTTGTGCTCTCTCTTTATCAAAATAAATAAATTTCTTCAGTTCTTCATTCTACTTTCCGATGTGAAATCTGTAGTTGCTTTAATAGCCTTTACCTTTGTCATTATCAAGAATTCCTACTCTGCTTTCAAAGCAAGGTTACAACTGGGTCTATTCATATTCCCAAGTCTTATTTCAGTAGGTTCTATTACCATATGGCCTGTTCTGCTTTTTTTTTTTTTTTTTCCTTCTGATATGGAGCTGAGATGTTAAGAGAATAATCATAATTGGGTGTTACTCCTACATCTTCTGGTCAACGAGATCCTGATGCCTAGGTAGCACTCCACACCAATTAAATCAGAATGTATTGGGGTAGGAGCCCAATGCATCAGTATTTAATTTTAATTTTTCATGTTCATTGATTTTGAGAAAGAGGAGAGAGACAGAGAGTGAGCAGGGGAGGGGCAGAGAAAGAGGGAGACACAGAATCTGAAGCAGGCGCCAGGCTCTGAGCTGTCAGTACAGAGCCTGACGTGGGGCTTGAACTCACAAGCGGTGAGATCATAACCTGAACTGAAATCAGATGCTTAGCCAACTGAGCCACCGAGGCGCCTCTGCATCAGTAATTTTTAAAAGATTCCCCAGGTGATTCCAATGTGCAACAAGGTTTAGAAACCACGATCTTTACTTAATAACCATGTAGCCTTTGAGTAAACCTTCTTGCTCCTGGTATCAATTTACCTCTCACAATTAATTAGATGACCTTAAAATAATGCACTTTAACTACTTGGAAAAAAGATGTTATATAAATATAACATATCACTGTTTTGTTATATATAGACTGCAAAGAAACACTTTTTTTGTGGTAAAATATACATATCATAAAATTAGCCTTTTTTTTTTTTACAAATAGTTTATTGTCAAATTAGTTTCCACATAACACTCAGTGCTCATTCCCACAAGTGCCCTCCTCCATGCCCATCCCCCCACCCACCCACATCCATCAGTCCTCAGTTTTTGTCAGCATTCAAGAGTCTCTCATGGTTTGCCTCTCTCCATTTCCCCCACCATTTCCACCCTTCTTCTCCCCCTTGATCCTCCATAAAGTTCCTCCTAATCCTCCTATACATGCAAACATATGATATTTGTCCTTCTCTGCCTGACTTATTTTGCTCAGCATAACACCCTCAAGGTCCATCCATTTTTAAGTGTACAGTTCAATGGTACTAAGTCCATTCACATTGTTGTGCAACCATCACCACCATCCACCTCCAGAACTTCTTCATCTACCCAAACTGAAACTGTGTCCTTTACACAGTAACTCCCATAATAGCCTACAGCCCCTGGCAACCACCATGCCACTTTCTGTCTCTATAAATGTGACTGCTCTAGGTACCTCATGTAAGTGGAATTATGCAGTATTTGTCCTTTTGTGACTGACTGATTTAAGTTAGTGTATTTTCAAGGCTTGTCCACGTTGTAGCATGTATCAGAATTTCCTAATTTTTTAACGCTAAATAATATTTCAATGTATGTCTGTACCACATTTTATGTATCCATTCACCTGTCCTTGGACACTTGGATTGCTTCTGCCTTTTGCCTATCGTGAATAAAGCTGCTGTGATCATGGATATACAAGAAGACAGTTTTAAGTGATAAAATGATGGCCTTTCTCCCATTATACGATGCTCATCTGGATAAATTGCTTGTTCTTTATGGATAGGTTGTAGTGTAGTTCACCAGATGAGGTCCCCTGCCCCTAGTAACTGGTCTGCCTTTTACAAAATATGGCAAAAATTACCTATTGTTCCATATGCTTTCTGGATTTTCTCAAATATGTTGACAGAATTATCTTGTTGAATCAGCTCTCTTGCCCACTCTGTGGATCAGTGTCACAGAGGCCATGTTCTAGAAATACAGTGACGAAAGTCTGTGTCTAGAATGAAGTAAAGGACCTATGCTGTATCTTTTAGTTTAATTTAATTCCCAAATTCTACTATGGCAAAATTGTAAGCTCCAAAACAAACCTAGAATGGTTCCCCTTTGTCTAGAAATTATAAACTAGAAGTCTGTAGCTCTGAAGTTGTAAACTAATTAGCTTGAGTCTAGAAGCCACATTAAGATCCTCTGACTTGTGCCTGTGTTACTCAGGCCATTTAGCTCTACTTCCATACATGATCTTGGCTCTTTATGTTACAAAACCTAGTACTTGAGGTGAGAGTTCAGTTTATTAGTTCTTGCCATTCTTAGTAAACCCTGTTTGTCTATTTAGTTAGTTAGTTATTTTTTAAGAACATGTATTTATTTTTGAGAGACAGAGAGAGACAGAGCATGAGCAGGGGAAGGGCAGAGAGAGGGAGACACAGAATCTGAAGCAAGCTGTAGGCTCAGAGTTCTCAGCACAGAGCCCATTGTGGGGCTTGAACTCACAAACTGTGAGATCATGTCCTGAGCCGAAGTTGGATGCTTAACCGACTGAACTACCCAGGCGCCCTGAACCCTGTTTGTCTTTTGACCTCCATGAAGGGTATGCTTTCTTTTAACACAGTTCAGGTAGGTGTTTCTACAAGAGATCAGCTGTGTTGTCAGTAAGTGGAGATTTTATGGAGTCAATCAACTTTGGAAAAGTAGTGACTTTTCTGTATTTCTGAAGGCATTATTTTTTCATATTCCTACAACCCACCCACCTACTCATCCTTATAGGATCAAAGAAATAAATTTTGTTTGTGTGTGCATATTTCACTTCGATCCCTTTGACACTTTTCCTTAATTTTTCACTTACAATAAAAGGCAGTTGCAATGAAAAGAGGCTTAGCCACATTATTGATAAGATAATAACCATACACTTTTTGGTCTCACTGGGTTAACAACTGGGCTGCATCTGTGTGCTTTAGAGGTACAGGAATGTCCTAAACCTGAGATCATAGAATTTTAGAACCAATTCTACACTCAACCATGAGCAACTTGTTCTTGTCTGAAGACTGGTCTATCACACTCTCCAATCTGAGAGGCCAAGAGTGAGTAAACAAACCTTTTTTCTTTCTAGATCTTCATCTGCTGGTGGACGTGGCCTGCAAGCAGGAGCACTTTCCAAAGGAGGAAGAATTAAAAGAGTGAGGAATTGAGGACATACGTGACATTGTGCACTAGCTGTAGCTGGGGGCACACTAGCCTGGCACATGACACGCTGTTGGGAGTTTTTCAGTTCTGTTAAGGAAAAAAAAAGTATTTTTGTTTTGTTAATTGAGAATTTTGTTAATTGAGAATTGGGACTTTGGTATTTACTACAGCTATTCAGTTCAGATTATTTACCTTGACAAACTACTAAACATCTAGCAGCCTTTTTTTTTTTTTTTTCTTCTGCCCAGATCCCTTTCAAATGAAAAGTCCTGGCCTTCTGTTATGGTCAAGAAGCACCTAAAAACTGCTGCATCTATGGTACTGGAGAATAATCTGTGTATATATGTGCTGATTTGCCGTCTTGGCACTCTCAAACTTTAGTCAGCACAATTCCAGAGGGGGAGTTCAGTCTATCTGTTTCAAGTCACAGTGTGACCCTTCTAGAGAAGACTGTGTGAGAAACAAAGGCATGTGAGGTCACCAAGATCACAGGTCTAATTGGGTCAGGAATTCAAGGGAAGAAACTCTGAGAAAGAGCTAATTTTCTAAGTGATTAACCAAGAAATGCTCTTACTTCCTAACCCAGCATTGTATTTCAAAAGCAAGGCACCCAGACTTGGACCATCCATCACACTTAACAGCTCCTGATTCTTTTATATTAATGGGAGCTTTCTTCTATTTTCATATCTTTCTTTAATTTTAATGATACATTATCATAAATGGTAAGAAGGTTTTGTTATATATCACTTACTTAAATGTCTTCTAAGAAAGTATTTAATTTGTTTAATAGATTTATAAATGCTGGTAGATTTAAAAGTTTTAAAGCTTTGTATTTTTATTAAGATTGCACAATAGAAGGATAAAGGATGCATGTGTAAGATATTTATTTTGAAGGGGAAATGTGTGAGCAAAACATTAAGAGATTTAACACTGTTTTCTTACTTTAGATTTTTACATTCAGTACATGTAAATTCTCATCTATATATATTGTGTGCAAATTTTGAGGGAAATCTGTCATTTAACAGAAACTATACCTCTGACATTTTTAATAGTTTATGTCTGGTTTAAGCTTCTGAGAAAATTTTGGATAGTGGGATATATCATAACATTTTAATTTTATCCCCTCTGTAGGATTCTAAATTCAAGTAGTAGGATTGTGGGACAGGTTTTTAGGAGAGGTGTCTTGGGTGTCCACTTGCTGTGGTTGATCCCTTACTAGCTCATCTAGTGATAGCAAGAAACTTTCTGATTTTAAAGTCTTTTAAACTGACTGGAACTTTCTTATTGGATTTTGCTTTGGTTGTCCTAATAAGAACTGCAGAAACAAAAGGAAAGTGTAGGAATATGAAACTAATTAAAAAGAAAAGACACTTAGTAAAATGACATAAATACTATGCTAGTCATTGTGAGTGTCACAGTTCATCTCTTAAATTGCTTTGTGCCTTCCCAATGATGTCAAACCATAGACGTGTTAACAGAAATAGTAGTGTTTTAGAAAAGGATGAGTTCTGTATTGGTCTGTAGTTACTCAGTTTAGATATGAAAGTAGCTTCTGAAAAGTGACCTGTTTGGTCCATCTGATTAGACTAGTTGATGTCCATGTGATGGGCATTTGTTCATTTTTATTAACAAGGTTTAAAAAAGATGAACAAATTATCAAGACTCGTCCATCTTTTGGCCAGACTGTGTATTTTGGCTGAGTATGTGAAGAGGAGACCCAATTTCCAAATGAAGGAACTTTGCCTTTTCTCTGTCAGGTTGAGAAGCTGACAAACTGTGTAGGTGACATTCCGTCCCTTAATATGCCTTTTTAGCTTTGTATCTGTTGAAAGAGATAATATCTTTTGAGGAACAAGCAGAAACCTTGGCATGGCTTAATTAATGAAATGCCTTTATCAGCTTTCCAAACTTTTTTATATGTGACTACAACAGACCAAGGAGCTGGATCTCCTGTTATACTCACATGCCTGCTAATATCAACTAAAGCTATCATCACTAACTTGGGGAAAATGGCAGAAGATAAAATCTTAGTGTGAATTAGCCAGTAGGGTCTGACGCATATTAACTAGGTTTCTGACTAGCACCTCAGTATTTCAGCACCTTAAGTACAATAAATTTCAATCAGTCAACAATAAAGTGAGTGTTTCAACTGGAGTTGTCTTGCTTCTTTTTACTGGTAATTGGTGATCAATAGAAGCCTAAGTCATTATGACTAGTAATAATAGCAAAATTTAAAAGAGAATGTATTCTGTTCTTCAAAGAATCTACTTTAAAAAAATGTCCGGGCTCTTTTTTTTTTTTTTTTTTTTGCAATTGAATGGAGGTTGAATCTTTCAAATGCCATTAAGGGTAAGGACAATTCTTGGACATGTTTACAGGAATCGGTTTCTTTAGAGAAAGGACTCATGTCTTCAGTAACTTTAGTCAATCCAGATGTGAAAATAGATCTGAAGGATGATCTTTCTCACAAGTAAGACGAGGTAGGAAATATCAGTGACATGGGCATTTCATTACCATAGTAATGACATCTTAATGACCTCTCTGTGGACGTTGTGGTAGATGATCTGAGGAAGAAGCCAGAGAATAATTTCCCTTGTTTGTCAGTTCTGGTGACCTGATAAACATAGTGTATCAGTGAAATAAAGTACATTGGGCCGTTTAGTTTGATTCTGAGTATCTCAGCGGATACCCACGTTCATGATACATATTGTCATCACTCCTAGATCTTGGAGTTTCCTCAAAAGAGGGCAACCACATCTATATTTTCTTTCTTCTTTTAACTAAGTGTGTTTATTAACTCTTAGGTTTAGGCCTCTTATTAACTCATTGGTAAGTTTTAAGCAGGAATAGGTGAGGCAAAGTCCATTAGTAGGTCACTTTTTGTTTAAGATATTTTTTCATATATCAAGTATATAGTAGTGTGTATTTTGCATTATTTATGCTACACTGTTACACAACGTATATAAAATAAAAATATAAAACCATAGAAGATTTTTAAAACTTCTCTCTAAAAGAATTAGATATATTCTTTTGGAAAGAGCTGTAAAGGTCTATACTTGCATTGTGTTCTTAAGGTCCAAGCAACAAAGAAAAATGCTAAATTAATTTATTTTAGAGTTGGGGTGGCTGGGTGACTCAGTCAATTAAGCGTCAGGTCAGCGCAGGTCATGATCTCGTGGTTTTGGATTCGAGCCCCACATGGGCTCTGTGCTGACAGCTCAGAGCCTGGAGCCTGCTTCCGACTCTATGTCTCCCCCTCTCTCAGCTCCTCCCCTACTCATGCTCTGTCTCTCAGTAATAAATACACGTTAAAAAAATAAAGAATTTATTTTAGAGCTGATTTCTCTGCTCTGTCACTTATTAGGCCTAAAATGTCAAAACTATTGCCATAAACCTTCTCTAGAGAAAAAGAATGTTGAAGGTGAAGAGAGCTCCCGTATTTTTTGCCTTCAGAGGCATTGTGTCATTTAAGTTTTACAGCCAACCTACAATGTAATTATTGTTATCCACATTTTACAGATGATCAATTTGTATGCTTTCATTTGTATAATCAAAACATTTTTTAATCTTATATGCTTCTTACCACAGTTTAAAAAATTAAAGTGTACAGTTCAGTAGTGTTAACCACATTCACACTGTTGTACATTTGTACAATTTGGAAAGGTTATTGGCAATAGGTCAAAAATAAAGTATCTGTCCACAGTCCAATATAATCTGGTAAATATGAAAATTCAAATTTTAGAAACATATATTAGAAATTTTTGCATTATAATGAGAAAGTAACTAAAAGGGTTATATATAGTTCATGAATGTGGTTATTAGCCAAAAACTGGTTTTCTTTTTGTCTACAGGCTTCTCATTAATCATATATATTTACCCCTTTGCTTGTATTTATGACATACATTCACTTGCAATCTTACATTGAGGGCATAGGTCTGATCTCCCGAAGAAAATAACAGGTTCAAGACCTCTGACATCACCCTGATTAAAACCTCCATACAGGAACAGTTTTAGAAAAGAGCTACTGAATTTAAATAAGTAAAAGCGGAAGAAAAAGTGTACATAAAATAGAGTTCTTGCCAGAGTAGTAGACATAAGACAGCAGTAAGCACTACAGCACTGGATGACTTTATTCTGGCTTTGTGCCATGTATAGACATGAAAGCCCAAAAGAGCAGAAACCCCTTCGAACTTATATTTGCAAAACCCTGTGTTCCCTCTTTCACGTTCTGGGCTTTCATTATTTTTTCTCTTTATTTCTTTATACCACCATTTATGTTCTCCTGGGTGCAGAGTCTGCTTAGATACCTGTTTGAGTGAACCTGACTTACTGGTGGTAGCGTGCTTACCCAGAGAAAGTTATTTAACATCAAACTGGATGCAGTTTGGCTGTGGCTCAATAGAGGGAGTAGAGGAGCTAGCTGAGAGAGGAGAGAGCAAAAGAACAAGTCTGGCTCAGTAAGTGTGTGCGCACTCCAGCTCTTGCCCTAGCCAGCCAGGAGAAGGAGGGGCGGGATGGGGGGTGGTTGCCTGTAGCTGCTCCACCCTCACTTTGTGTCAGCAGGTAGAGAGCGTGATTGCAGTCCCAGGGGAGGGAGTCAGAGCTAGAACACCAATTACAAACCACAGGCTTCCTCCTCTAGGGAGTTGATCCAGAATTGTCTTTCTGGAAGGGAAGCACTCGAATCTTTCCGAACTTTCCAAGCCCATCCATGATTCAGAGATACTGCTTTCTCCCTCTGGGATTTTCTGTGTTCCTGGTAGTGAATTGTTGCTGATGTATTTACTACTTTGCTCCTTTTCTCTCTCAAGATTTGATCATTTTATATGCTGTTCGGGGAGAAAAAGAACTTTTGTTAGAAAGGAGATTTCAGAAATGATTTTGGATCCTCTATACATGCTTTTAGAGTTCTTGGGAACAGTAGCTCTAACCCTGGAGTAAATGTTTGCCTTTGACCTGCATGGATTATTTTTTCAGGCTGCGGAATTTCTCGGCACCTACCTACAGTGTGGGGCACTTGGTTTGGTTGCAGAGTAAGAAGGTGGAAGAATGAGCTGTACTTGGTTAAGCAGTTGAAACCTTTTTTGAGCAGGACCTATAAAAGCATAATTGAATTTGTTTCACCCCCCGTGGATTCCAGTGGGCCCGACAGCGGCAACAGGTTTGCAGATTTCTTTTGAAATTCTTATTTTTCTCCCTCTGCCTCGGCAAAAGAAAAGGATCTGTGTAACAGGTTCATGTTCAATTGCTTGGCTTTTCAGCACTTATTCTGAAGACTTTATAAGACTTTTTAACTTGACCTCTGAACACGGCAGGCTTTATAAGGTTGAAGTGCATTTATATTTACTTAAGGGTGCACATTTTAATATCTTAGAATTCAGATTTTGTTTGTACAAAGACCCAAATTCTCAAGTGTGCCTAGAAATAGCACAGATTTACTCTACTCAGGCTTATTTATACTTTTTCAGGGTGTTCTACTTAGAGCCTGTAGACTAATCACCTCCCTACTCCCCCTATCTTTTATTCCCCACCCCCTCAAGGAATTCGAAAACGTGTTAGGAATGGTCCTTTGCTTTACTCATGAACCTAGAAAATTACAGATTATAAAATCTGGATAATAAAGTAGTTTCCAAAATCATCTCATGGGAAATCAAAGTGCTTGGCATTCTCAAGCAGGAGAATAAAAGCTGGAATCCCTAAGAGAGAAAGGAAAATAAAGATAGAAATATCAGTTTTAACTG